CATTTCAGGTGGATGTGCTCTTATCCAATTCCCTGACCTTTCTTAAAACAGTCACTGGTGGTCAAAGTCAAACCAGAATAATCAGTGTAGAGTGTGACTGGCAGATCATGGATTAAATATTCAGTGGACTTTATGGCCAAATATGTGCCTCCAGTGTCTTCCAAACTCATGTACTACTCTTTCCCCTGTGCCTTTTTGTAACAAAGCCACATTTACCTGCTCTTGTGGCTCCTGTCATCAACTCCAGTCACCTTAGCCTGTAAATTGAAGGTCTCCGTATTATTGCATGACCTTAGAGGCAGAGAAATACATACAGCTTGTTTAAGTGCATGAAGAGACTCCTGTTTTTCTGAGGACCAGTGGAGTTCAGCAACACTTTTTGTTCTCATTAAGTCATCTCAGACTTTTTCTAGAGAACAGGTGATTTCTCTATTCGTGGTAACATTTTTATACAGAACATATACTACCTTAATTCAGTCCTATTGAGAAAATGGTCCCCATTGTACAAGTGACTCAAAAATAAACCACCACACTGAAAACCACTGAGCAACTTCTGGCTAGGACTCCAGAAATTTTGAATAAGCTTGGTACATAATTGCTCAATATATGGTATACGGCATATGGTATTCAGGATATTTGATGACTCTTTCTTGTGCCACAACTGTCTTCTCAATCTGCACAGCACTGGGAGGTGTGGGGTACTATTACATCCATATGACCCAAGGGGAAAGCATAGGGGGTGGCCCCTGGGCCCATCCAGACAAATGGTGGCAATAGGACTGGAGGAGGCTGTGTCTGACAGAGACAGTGCTGGCAACCACAGCCCTGACCTATTGTCCCTGGGGCCAACAGGGGTTTCTCTGTGGAGATTGGAACCCCGCACATTCTAGAGCCATAGAATGAGGTGCCAAGCTTTTTTCGGGGGTGGGGTGGGGTGGGAATTGTCCTAACTCACGGAGCCTTTCAAAAGAGGAAGTGTGTGTGATAACCATGGCAGAAAAGAGGGCTTCGCGGTTACCCCAGGTATTTTGTGGGCCCATAAGGCACAGCGCCTTAAGGGTAGGGTTGCCAGAGCATTCCAAGCATCTCAGAGCCATTAGACAGGAAATGCCCAAATGCAGAGGTGAGGGGACGGGGACGGTGGCCTCCAACAGAAGTCAACAACCTGGGAGAGAACATACAGCCAGAGAAGGGGCAGAACCTACAGAAGACGGCCTGAGGTCCCCAGCATCCACTTTCTCATGTGTCCCCAAAAGCTAACCTCCAATGTGAACACACAGGAAAACACACACACTCACTCACAGAGCAAAAACAAAAGAAAAACAATAGCTGACAGCATCAGTGGCAAAAGCAAAACAGTAAAGACGCTCGAACTGTCCAAGGTTGTTTCCCCTGCAGATTCTGGGGCAGGCCTTAGAGAGGCCTGCAGGAGAGAACCTCACTGCCCACAGCACCAGGTCAGTGGAAGAACTGGAGTGGTAAATTTGAAAGAAAGGAAGGAAAGATTGGGAGAGCCAAAAACTGGAAAAGGGAGCTAGAAATTCAGGATTAAGACAGCTCTCATTACATCCCAAACAGAATAAAGCCCACGTACCATAGCTCACTATCACATATTACACAGTCAATTCCGCATAGTTAGGAAAATGGCAGAAATAAGAAAATAAGAGGTATGACTGAGACTGACCAACCATACCCTAAGGAAGTATGCCCATTTGGGGGGTATCTGGGGTACCATATGCAGAAAGTTGCTGCCTGCCGCTCTGGCATAGCCTTATAATCCTTACACTGGACACTCTCGGTAGCTAGTACCCGACGCGTGTCATTCCCACCCCACCCCCACCCCCCAGCCTCCGGGCTCCTCTACACACAACTTGCACTCAAATTCAGGCAAAGGTCCCAGACTCGGTCCCCGTGCGATAATCCAATCTCAGGATGTCATACACGGTGTGAGTAACTGATGCCTAAACAGCCCACCCTGGCACTGCCTTATCTACATGAGACATACCCCTTCATGGCATCATTGGCTATTACCTTCCTTCAGTCCCACGCCCTGCCCACTGCCCTCACCTTTCACCTCCCACTCTACCCTCCCGACCAATGGCAGGTCAGCACACATAGCTGGAAGTGAGTCCTCACCCTCCAGGTTTAGGCTGCCTGTGGACTCCAAGGCCTGGTCCCTTGTTGATGCCTCTTCATCTAGAGACCAATTTAGAAGAACTCTTGGTCCAGCCTCAGTTGCCTAGTGGTTAAGTTCTGCGTGTGCTCCGCTTCTGCAGCCTGGGTTCAGATCTGGGCACGGACCTCCACCACTCCTCTGTCAGAGGCCATGCTGTGGCCGCCGCTCACCTACAGAAAGAGCAAGATCATCAGTGGGTGGTAGCTCAGAGAGAATCTCCCTCAACAAAAAAGAAAAGAAAAAAAACAACTCTTGAGAATGAAGCCATAATAGTAGGAATAAGAACAACAACAACAAAAGATTTGCAGGATCATGCAAAGTATGTATTCTAGAAATAAGAGCAAAAATTTTAAGGGAATAAAAGGAGAAGAAAGATAAACCCAAAAGACATGTCTAGTAAATCTGGATATGAGGAACGGGATTTTCAGCTAAAAAAGAGCTGTTGCGAGAGTCTCAGGCTCACCAGGGGGAAGGAGTTGGGAGGAGCGTCCAACAGTTTAGTGGGAAGAGGAAGGGAGGGACATGCCATGCACCTTTGTGGGAGGAGACCCCGCAGAGCCAGCCAAGTCCTCTATGTCTTTGGTGGAGGCTGCTGGGCACCAAACCCAGGGAACAGCCTTTGCTATAGGATCCAGAGAAAAGCATTCCAAAACACCACATGTTTAAGTTGGGTCTGATAATGACATCTTTATTTTGACTAATCTCTTCAAGAAATGTAGCATTACATTTAATTAATTAATTATTTTTATTGAGGTAACATTGGTTTATAGTATTATATAAATTTCAGATGTACATCATGATAGTTTGACTTCTGTGTAGATTACATCGTGTTTGCTACCAAAAGTCTAGTTGCCATCCGTCACCATACACATGTGCCCCTTACCGCTTTCACACTTCCCCCAAACTCTTTCCCTCTGGTGACCACCAATCTGTTCTCTGTATCTATGTGTTTCTTAATTTGTGTATCTTCCACATATGAGTGAAATCATTTCATTCTGAATGTGGGCAAATGAGAGTCCTGTAACTTTGTTAGCGAAAGAAATTTCCCATTCTTATGATGTCACATTACAGTAGCTATAGACATCTCCACAGGATTCTTGGGCTCCTTCTCTGGAGCTGGCCAAGTTAGAAAAGCCAGAGGGACCCAGGGTTCAGCAGCTTGGGGCTAGAGAGACCTCGCATAGAGGCCCAGTGCCTGCCTTTCCTTGAGTAATAGGTGAGCTCATTCATGTGTTCACTGAAGGGTTGGTGGTTCAAGCTCAGCTACAGATACCGGAGTTGACTGATTCCAGGTTCTTTGAAGCTATGTTTGGGCTGCACATTCTCTCTTAACTAGCTTCTCTCTTAACCTTATCCTCAATCTCTGTACTTTAAATCAGACGTGGAAAAATCCTGCCTTAACCCTTACAGTTCACATTAGTTACTACAGGGGTTTGGTAGAGAGATTTTTTTTTTTTTTAATGGTAAAAACAAGTTTTGGAGTTCCAGAGCCTACGTTTCTTACAGACAGTGTGTGTAACCTTTTTTCCCGAGGCTGGGTTTTTACAGCTGTTTATTTCTGGAAACCTGGTGTCAATTCCCTTAAGCCAAATCACCAGGAACACACCTTTCAATAAACAAGTCTGGCTTTTATTCCTTGTGGTCAGAAAGAACACACCCCCTGGTCTGAGTAAGAGGGTGTTAGGAAGAACCTATTACAGGATTTGGGCTTTGGTTGGGTGATTTGGGGAGGCTGGAAGGAAGCAGGGCTTGTTCTATATTGAGTTCTGTTAGTCAGCATGGGCAAATCTATGATTGGAGTAAAGGGGTAACAGTCATTTCCTTATGAAAAGAGGAAGACTCTGATTTTTAGGTTGCACAGTGACCTTGTTTTTGTCTGTGCCTGGACAAAATTATGAGGTAGCCTCCTTTTGTCTTATTTTATCAAAGTCTCAGACTACTCTTGTCTGAGGCTGATATTCTGTATCTGAGATTGTTTATTTCCAACATGAGAACAAAACGGTCAGGCTGTGAGTGTCAGATCAGTGCAGGGCTTCAGAGGCTGGTATTTTTCTATCTCACTGGAAATCCCTAAAATAGAGAACAAGAAAAGAGAGCACTCTGGTCTCACAAGCTATAAGGGCAAACCTGACTGGATAACAGGGTGACTTTGACTAAGTCTCTTGATTTTTTGTGGCTCAATTTCTCATTTAAAAATGGGTCAAATAGGAGTTCTTCCTACATGGGTGTCCTAGGTCTACATGAGATGTGCAGGTAAAGCATTGAGCCCAGTGCCTGGCGCAAGGTGAATACTCGGTACATATTAGCTCCTACCATCCATCACCGTAAGCATTTTAATTATCTGCTCGGTTCTTTGAAACAACTACAGACCCTTTCCAGGTGTGGATGGATCATTATAAATGAATGTTCTCCAATTGACAGACATATAATTGGTTCCAATGTTTATTTTTACAAACAATGCTGCAGGGGACATTTATATATCTACATGTATATTTATATCTATATGTACATATCTCTATCATTGCTTGTGTAAGCATGTCTCTAGTATATATTCCTGTAAAGACAATTGCTCAGTTTAGAAATCTATTTCTACACATGTAATTTTGCTAATTCCTGCCCTATTGGCTTGCTAAGAAGCTTCACCAATTCATATTCCCAATCATTTATGAAAATATTCTTTTCTCCACCCTTTTGCGAACACTAGATAGCATTTGTACCTACCATTTATCTTTGCCAACAAGTAACCCCTTATTGAGAATTTCCTCAAATGAGTTTACACTCACTGGCCTAACTTAACTCACATCCTGGAAAATCAATGAAATCAATATGATTTTTCTCTGTTCCCTTCTATTTTATGACTGCTCCGTTCTCTCTGATAATCTGAGCCAAGAGCCGTGCAAACATATCCCTCTTGCTTGGGGGGTGCTACTTCCTGTTGGGTTTGCACATTGTTCTGGATGTTGAGGGTGAGGGGCTGGGTCACAGAAGAGGTTTGAGGTTGAGTTTACCTGACTTCCTGTTGACAGAGAGCCCAGGCTGCAGGGAATTGGGAACTCACTCACCCTGAGGAGTCAGGTATCCATGATTGGGCTTGAGAAAAATACAAATCGGAAAACAGAGACATTTAAGTTAAAATTTTCATTAGAAGAAGACTTTAAAAAAACAGATTTTTTTGTTTTCTTCTAGTCAAAATAAGAGAAGAGATTGCATTCAAGGAACTTTGTTTGGGAGAACTTAATAACATGGTTGTTCTATTCCTCTCCTTGGATTGGTTCGCCTATGCTGGGAACTTGTACTTGCTATAAAACCTTGTCTGATGAGCTCAGGAGAATAAGGAGATAAAAATAATCTGCCATAGGAAATAGAGACAGTCGATGGATTCGCAGATAATGTTAGGTGGGGTTAAGTATCATACCATCGTTATTCTTTAAGAAGAAGTTTGGTTGGTAACACTAAAGGGACATTCCTCCAGCCCCTGAAATGCCCTTCGTAGTGTCCTTCACATTACAAGGCTTGGGAACAGTCACATGAAGGTGAACACAAGATTTTTACTGTGGTTCTTTGATGGTTTGTTTTTTTTTTTACAGAGATTAGCATACATGTTTCTGAAAATTGAAAAATCAAGCGAGTAGAGATAAGCTTCTGAATTAGATCCCTATTGCTGGTTATTAACAGATTACAGAAACAGTGGTTTAAAACAACACATATTTGTTATCTCACAGTTCTGTAGATCAGAAGTCTGGAATGATGTGGCTGGGTTCTCTGCTGACAGACTTGGTCCATATGTCCTTCCCACCTGAATAGGTCTGATGTTGACCATGTCGTGATTCTGACTATGTCCCAAGAGGGGCTGCCCTCATGATCTCATAATCCTCTGGGATCCTCTTTGTTGACCTGATTTCTATCAGTCATGACTTCTTTCAGCTCACCAAGTGGCTTAGGAGAAAGCCTAGAACTGTGGAGCCCCAGCACTGATCTCTGCCATCTCTTTCTCCAAGAGGAGAATAAAATAACAGAAGTCTTCCTAAAGAAAGGGGCTAAGACCCCCCCGGTGATTAGAACAGAGGAGAAAATCAAAGGACAATGGAGGCACTAAAAGCCCAGACTGTGAAACAGGGTCTTCTTCAAGTCCCACTAGGAACCCTTCCTGAAAAGGGGGACATTTCCCATTGAAAGCCCACCTTGGGCAAGGGACTTGCCTGCTCAAAGCTGAGTCATTCTTTTTACCACTGGGGATTTCAGAGTCTCCATCCTAGGCTGTCTGTTTAAGGGGTCTTTTTCCTTGCATGAGAATCTCCTGGGAATTTTTGTCTGAAATGCAGTTTCTTGGGCCTTATGCCCAGAGATTTTTAACGAGCACTGTGCTGACTCTGATGTAGGTGTTCTTTAGCTCTGCAGCTGGTGCCCATGGATTGGTGCCCTGTCTATTGCATGGTATCATACTTAATTATCCATTACTCTACTAGTTAATGCTGCCTTCTCAATTTTACGCTACACAATTCTTCTCTCTTATACATGAGATGAACATGCTCAAAGCAGGTAATGAAATCATCCACTAAAGCATACTTGGTCCATGGTGGAGTTGGTATTTGAATCTTTGACTGCTTTTCCTAAGGCTGTGCTTTTATTGCTTCAGCACAGATCTGGGATAGGATTTGACTGGGAATATGGCTGGGACTAGAAGACATCAGTAAAAGTTCTTCCTGGTAACTCTTATTTATCCACTTGACAAGTACTTACTGAATGTTTTATCTGTCAGGCTCTTGTGGAGGCATTTGGGAGATAGGGAGAACAGGGCAGAGTGCTCGCTGTCAGGAATATGATCTTCTGGCTCAGGAACAAGACATTGTACAGATAATCATGTAAGCACATTTTAATTACGGCTGTGATAAATTTTATTTAATACTTATGTGTTCCTCGGTCCCACTGTGTCAGCCAGGATTGAAAACTGAGTATAAATAATAGGACTATAGAACTGTGATAATAGATTTGTCCCGGGAAAGGTCCTTCAGATATTTTTGTTTGAACAGTGGAAATCCTGTGTTTGATCCAATGTCCCCTGAACTTGAGATGAGTGTTCCTGGAGGGGGTATTAGGTGCTTTGGACAGGAAAGCTTGTGGCCAAGGCTTGTGTGGGGGCTTTGCTGCGACCAAGTGGTGAGGGAGCAGTGACCTGGATCTCAGCCAGATTTCAGCCTCTTAGGATACAACCAATACCTGGGCTCCATGTTGGCTCCAAGCAGTCAACACAGTCAATGTCTCTAGAGGAAACTGCTGACGTCAGTAGCTATTGTCTATGTCCTAGTCAGCTGGAGAAATAAAGAGGCAAGTTTAACAAATCTTTTTTTCTTAAGATTTTTTACTTTTTATTGAGGCCACATTGGTTTATAACATTAGGTAGATTTCAGATGTACATCATTGTAATTCAACCTCTGTATACACTACATCATGTTCACCACCAAAAGGCTAGTTTCCATTTGCCACCATACAAATTACCCCCTTACCCATTTCACCCTCTCTCGGTCCCGCTTCCTTTCTGGTAACCAGTCTTATAGGTTCATCTGATAAGTTAAATGCTTTCTAGACTTCAAGATGCTCTCCCCACATCAAAAATAATTTAAATATAGGCCATATTCCTAGAATTTTAGAACTTGGTATTTTATCCTCTAATTTTAGATCAAATAACTAAAGTAAAAAAGAAGCAAAGCAACTTCCAAGATTACAGTAAGAATATCAGGGGATCTGGGAGTGAAATCCTAGCTTTCTCTTACTGAAGTGGTTAATAAAATGAATGCCTTTCATTCTCTTACAAATAGAATAAACTAACACTCCCTGTTTCACTCCTCATTTTGTCCTGCTTAGCTCTATAAAATATAACATCTCTTCTCATCTAGACAACTTGGATTCTAAATTATTTGAACTCCATGTATGCATTTACTGAGCCCCTGTGGGTAAGGCATTGTGCTAATTGCACTGGGGGATACAGAGGAAGGGTACACATTCCTTGCTGAAGAGAGCTGAGAGATGTCTGTTTCCAGCTCAGCTTGGGTTCTGTGTAGGTGAGAACGTCAATAGCAGTCACCAATAGTCTCATCCTAGGGAAAGGGAAGACGATGATGAGGAGAGATGACAGTGCCTGGCTTTCTACCTCCTAAAGTGTCATGGAAAAAAGCATCTGGAAAATCTCCTCCAGGGAATGTCCCAGTTGCCAGCTGTCATAGTTGAGTGTCACAAATTCTTGGCATGGCCCCCTCCCTGTGTTCCATTTCACGGATCTATTTAGATAGTAGCAAAATCAAGGGACAAAGCAGAGGGATGGACTAGAAGCGACTGAATAATGTGTGGATGGGCAATGACTCTCAAAAAAATTCCAGATCCGCTCAGAAAGGGAAGTTTTAGGAAATATAATGCACGGATGGGGTTTAGTGTCATGTAGTGAGCGAAAATTTATTGCATGTAGCAGCACCTGATGACTTGTGAAGACAACACACTCCCCAAGTGACCCAAATGATGGCCCTACATACCAAATAACAAAGAGAGCCACTCACTTCCATTGATCTTACAGAAACAGAAGGCCCTTCCTGCACTTAAATAAGCTGGAAAAATGGCTTTGCCTCTAGGGCCATGGGACAAAACGGATCTCATGCCGCATGACATAGTAAGAGGCAGGGTAGAGTTTAGGACAGTGGCCACGAGAAGGTGGAGAAAATGGCTTGAGGTCTCTGGCACTGCAAATGAGTTGGCTCAGAAGAACATTACATGTAAAAACATGGTTAGCCCATTGAACACCTAATATTTAGCCCATGATCTGCAATCATTCTATGCTTAATTTATTCTGTATTGTCTTGGACCAACGATGACCTTTCTGACGGAGGTCAGGAATCTGCACATCAGCACACATGCCTGAAATAGAAATGGTACATTTTCTTAAAAAAAATAAAAATATGGAGGAAGTTATTTCTTATTTTCAAATTGTAGTCTTTGACTTAACTGAAGAATTGACTACCATAAATATTAACTATTAATGATGCTCACAAATAGGCATATTTAAACACAGCCTCGGATGACTTGGATACATAGAGATGTAAAACAGCTGTTTCTACAGATAGAAACAGCACTGTCATCCAGGGATGTCCGTGGAAGTAGTGAGTGACATTGCACACCTGCACCACCAACACAAAACAGAAGAAGGAAGGGGACAGTCAGCCCAGTGTATAGAATTATATGTAATGCATGCAACTATCAGTTGGTTGGTAACAAACCAATGGGAATAAACCTATGTTTGTAGTGAATCTGGGGTCCTGTCAAATGGGCAGAGTATTGGGAAACAAAAGCTTGAACTGTAAAAGGAAAGTCAGTTGGGTTACTGCATTTAGAAAACATTTACACAGATATAAATAAAACACATTTAAAGCTCACTGTGAGCCATGTTTTAGCCCAACAAGAATGAACTTTAGGAGAGACACATAATGATAAATGAATGCTTTGGATTTTCTGAGACACATCATCTGAGCCACTGGGAATGTGACCTTGTGAGTCACCCAGATAAGCAAGTTTTACATGATTGGATGAAAAGGCCAGTGATTAAAGAGACAATTTAAATATGCTACACACACCGGTCATGACATAATTTAAACCAAAGGTCATTCACCCTCTTTGGGGGAATGAAGCTGACACAAAGGGACTACAGATTCAGTTCTAGAATCAGGGCCCTGATGCTTACATAATAATGGGAGTGGACACATACTTCAGCTATGCAATAGAAGCTACTGTCTCCTAAGGCTCTGAGTGCCACACAACCAACCCCCCTCAGCCTGTACTATTAATTATTTTAATGCCCTTCGTGTCATTTTTGTAATAGGTCACATCAGAAATAAAACTAGTCAGAAACGAGCACAAACTCAGGATATTCGATGGATGTATCATTGCATACTGTTCGAAAGGTTCTGGCAGTGCCAGAAGCTGGTGTAGATTATTGAAGACTAAATTAAATAATAAGGGAGTAGATTGGTCCATAAATCTTACAACTGGTATTCCAGCTAAACGCAAGGATAAATTGGCAGCCTCACCAACTGAATGGTTAGTCTTCAGGAAATCTTACTGATGAACATACAAAACATTTCACATCGATTAGTCCACAAAAGCCCTCCTACAAACACTGCTCAGTCACAGGACTCAATATGAGTTTTGATCATCTTCCTTGGGCTGATGATAAAGCCCCAATTGAATTGAAGAAGATTCTTCTCACCTGGCAAATACACAAGTCCCCAGAGCTAAGGTCACTGCCAGATCTAGCCTGAATCTGAAAAGCATTTGTTTCTAGCAGGATACAAGGTCAATATACAGAAATCTATTCTATATCTGTATAATCTCAAGCACAACTGAAATGTGAAAACTAATAGCATCAAACAAGTGAAAGTACAAAAGTTGTTGAAAGAAATTAAAGACCTAGAAAGTGGAGCCAAATTTCTTGTTCATGGGTCAGACTCACTATTTTTGAGATGTCCGTGACCCCCAATTTGATCTACAGATTTAATGCAGCCCAACTCAGAATCTCAGTCAGACTTTTTGGTAGAAAGTGACCAGCTGATTCTAAACGAATGTGAAATGCAAACGATCTAGCAAAGTTAAAACACTTGTAAAATAAAAAATGAAGTTGGAGGGCTAGCTCTACCTGATTTCAAGACCTATTATAAAGTCGTAGTAATCAGAGCTGTGTGGTATTGGTGTAATGAGAAGTCAATAGATCAATGGAACAGAACAAAGAGTCCAAAAATGAAGTAATACCTATAAAGAGACTGACTCTGGACAAATGCAAAAGGCAATGTGGTGGAGACAAGATAGTCTTTTCAATAAATGGTGAAGGATGGTCTTTTTCAAGCTTTTCCACTAATGGATATCTGTATCTGTGTGAAAAATACTAGAATAAACAAACAGAACCATATCTCACACCATATGTTAAAATTCACTCAAAATAGGTCATAGACCTAAATGTAAACTGTAAAACTTCAAGAAGAAATCATGGGAGAAAATATTCACAATTTTAGGTTAGAAACAGATTTCTTAGATTGATACCAAAAACATAATGGATAAAAGAATACATTGATAAAATGGACTGCATAAAAATTGCAAACTTTTGCTCTTCAAAAGGCACTGGTAAAATCCTGAAAAGTCAGGCCACGGTTAGTAGAAAATATTTGTAAATCACACATCTGATAGAGGACTTATACCCAGACTGTACCAAAATTCTTAAAACTGCATAATCAGAAGACAAATCAATTTTAAGTTGGGCAAAAGATTTGTATAGACACTTCAGCAAAGAAGATACGTGGAAGGCACATAAGAACATGACAAGATGCTCAAAATCATGAGTCATCAGGCAAATATCAATTTAAACCACAATGAGATGGCTCTGCATACCAATTAAAAGCGCTAAAACTAAAGATTGTCCGTTCCAAGTATTGTCAAGGATGTGTGGTGTCTTAGTTTCCGAGGGCTGCTGTAACAAATTTCCACAAACTTAAAACAACAGAAATTTCATCTCACACAGTTCTGGAGCCTAGAAGTCTGAAATCAAGGTGTTGGCAGGGCCATCCTCCTTCTGAATGCTCTAGGGTAGAAGTCTTCTCCGCATCTTCTCAGATGAGGGTGGTTCTATGTGCAAGAACTAGAAATCTCATACACTGATGATTCAAATGTGAAATTGTATGACCACTTTAGAAAGAAGTTTGAAAACATCTCAAAAAGTGGAACGTATTCAATACCTACCATATGATACAGCCATTCCATCCAAATGCAAAGAAAGTATATGCTTACTAAAATCTGTTCGTAGAAGCTTGATTTTTAATACCAAGCTTTTTAAAACCCTCATATCCATCCAAAGGTGAATGAATGAAAGAAATTGTAGTATATTCATACCATGGAACACTGCTCAGCAGTAAAAAGGAATGAACTATTGATGCACACAGTGATATAGATGAATCTCAAATAATTATGCTGAGTGAAAAAAGACAAACCAAAATAACATAAATACTATGTGAGTTCATTTATATTAAGCCTTAGGAAATGCAAATAAACTATGGTAACAGAAAGCAAATCAGTGGTTGCCTGGGGTGAGGAAAGGATGTGAAGGAGGGATTACCAGGGACGCAGAGAAACTTTTGAGGGTGGTGTATTCACTATATTATTGGGATGTGTATGAATATATGTCAAAACTGATTGAATTGTATTCTTTCATTACTCACAATCTATTACATGTAAATTATACCCCAAATAGCAGTTAAAACAATTTAAAATGAAAGAAAATTACCTTTTATAACCTGACATCAATAAATATTCTTTTATATTTTAAAACTCAACATGATCATTCTTCATGTTAGTAGCATAAAGGAGAAACAGCATATCATCAACTCAACATACGCAGAGAATACATTTGACTAAATGAAGACTTTTTCATGAAAAAAAAAAAAAACCTCAAAACTCTCTACTAAGAATAGAAGGCAACTTTCTAAATCTAACCTAGGGCATATATGAAAAATCTACAAGGAATATCATACTCAATGGTCAAATATAGAATGCTTTTCTATTAAGATAGGGAAAAAGACAAGACAGTCCACTGATACACCTTCAATTCAATATTATCTTGGAGATCCTAATCAGTGAAATAAGATAGCAAAAATAAATTAAAACATGCAGATTTGAAAGGAAGAACTGAAATATCTTTCTTCACAGAACACATAATTTTGTATTTTAAAAATCCCAAAACTAGTAAGTGAAGCGAGCAAGATTTCAGACTATAAGATGAACATGAAAAACCTATTGTATTTCCATAGTAGCAATGAACATCTGGAAAGCAAAATAAAAATACAATTTCAATAAAATAGCATCTAAAAACATGAAATGTGGGTCAAATTTAACAAAATGTAGGAACAGTACATTGAAAATGACAGAATATTACTTTGAGAAATTAAAGAACTAAATAAATGGAGAGAGAAAACTTGCTGCAGATGAAAGACTCAATATGGTTTAGATGTCAGTTCTCCCCAAATTGATTAACAGATCTAATACAATCCCCATCAAAATTCCAGCAGAAATGGTAGACATTTATGAGCTGATTCTAAAATTTATATGGAAATGCAAATGATCTTGAATTATCAAAGCAATTTTACAAAAGGAGACTAAAGGTGGATGAGTTACATTGCCTATTTCCAGAATTACTATAAGAGTAGAGAAATTAAGATAGTGTGGTATTGGTGAAAAAATAGCACGTAGTCAACGGAAGAGAAGGAGAGTCCAGAAACAAACCCACATCTATATGGTCAATTGATTTTCAGCAGAGGTACCAAGGCAATTCAAAGGATAAAGTAAATTAGTTTCAACAAATGGTGATAGAAAAACTATATATCCATATGAAAAAATATCAACCCTTATCTCACATCATGTACCAATATAACGAAAACTAGATCATAGACATAAATGTAAAAGTTACAACTATAAAACTCCTCAAAAGAAAATGTAGGAAAATAATTTTTCAACCTTAAGTTAGGCAATGATTTCTTAGAGAAGATATCAAATATATTCATATTTGTATATAAATACATAATAATGAAATATATTTATAAGTAATAATCCTATATACATATATTTATACATATATATCCAAAATTGAGTTTATTAAGGAAACATAAAAGGAAGCCACAGAATAGAAGAAATTATGTTTATTTCCAACAGAGGACTTGTCTCTAGACTATATCATGAAGTCTGATAAGACAACGCAATGAGAGAATTGGTCAAAAGACTTGAGGAAATACTTCAATAAAACTGTTATTAAAAAAAAGAAGAAGATATATAAATGGCCAAAAGGCACATGAAAAGACACTTACCTCAGTCATCAGGGAAATAAACTAATAATACAATGAGTTACCATTACATATCGTTACCATGGCTAAAATTAAAAAGACTGAAACTACCACATGTGGGGAGGATGGAAAACTAACTAAAAGTCTCTTACGCTTCTCAGAATGAAAAATGATACAACCGCTCTGAAAAGCTGAATCACAGTTAAACATATGCCAATCATATGAACAGCATTCCACTCCTAGGTTTTAACACAATATGTGCACACAACAATCTGCACATGAATGTCCGTAATAACTTTGTTCGTAATAGCCAAAACCTGGAAACTATACAGATGTCCATTAGTGTCCTGGTGAATGTATGAATAGACACAATATATGCATACAAAAGAATATTACCTAGCAAAAAAAGGGCCTGAAGTGTTGATGCATGTAGTAATATGCGTGGATTTTAAAATCATTGCGCTGCATAAAGGAATGCAGACATGAAAGAGTACATGTGTGGTTCCATTTATATAAAGTTGCTAACAATGCAAACCCATCCATAACGACAGTGGTTGCCTGGGGCAGAGGGTTGAGGGAGTGATGGACTGCAAAGGGCACAAGGAAAGTTAGGAGATAATGGAAATGCCCTGTATCTTGATTGTAACAGTAGTTTCATTAGTGTTTACATCTGTCAAAATGCATTTAACTGTATTCTTTAAAGTGATGCAGTCTACTGTACCTAAATTATACCTCAATAGCATTCATATAATAATCTATTGTATTTCTCCATATTAGGACTGAGTATTTAGAAAATGAAATTCAATAAAACACAACAGAGATTAACATCCACAATCATGAAATGCTTAAGAACACATATAATGAAGGCCCCTTAAAACTATTGCTGAGAGAAATTAAAGACCTCGATAGATAAAAAAATATATATCAAATTCATAGATTGGAAGATTCAATATTGTTATAATGTCAAATCAACATTATTCCAATTAATAATGCGGGATGCATTTTGGGGGGGAAACTGACAAACTAATTCTAAAATGTATGTGGAAACCAAAGTACCTGGAATAGCCAAGACAACCTTGAAGAAGAATTAAGTTGGAGGACACATTCTACTAGATTTAAAAACTCACTTTAAAGCTACAGTAATTAAGACACCATAGCATTGGCGGAAGTAATCACAACACAAAAATATTATGTGAAAGGGCAGCGAGTAAAAAAATTACCCACACGCTATTTGATTTTCTTTTTAAGTCACCAATACACTTCACTGGGATAATGAAAGACTTTTCTCTAAAAGGTGCTAGAATGAATAAATATTTTTTATAAATAAGTTAATATTAAAAACAGTTTCCCACCATACATTGACGTTAATTGGAGATGTGAAAGTAAAAATTACAAGGCTTTTGAAAGAAAAATGGAAAATTTTTATGACCAACCAATAGGGAAAGATTTCGTCGACATAACAACAAGGCACTCACCATAGATGAAAAATTGATGAAACTCAATTTCATAAAGTATTGAATCTTTAGCTTATCATAAATGACTATTTAAAAAGTGAAAAGGCAATTCATAGACCAGGAATAATTACTTGCAATACGTATATCCAATAAGGGACTTATCCAAAGGATATAAAGAACTTATACAAATCACAAAGAAAATTACAAGCTGCCTAGTTTGTTAATGAGCAGAAGGTTAGAAAAGACACTTTACAAAACAAGATACTCCAATGACCAGTGAGCTTTGAAAAGCAAAGTGAGAAACCACTACACAGCCAGTAGAATGGCTAAAATTAAAAAGACTGAAAATACTAAGTGAGTGGGAATCTAGAAAAACTGGAACTGCCCTATATTTTGGGAAAAAGCTAAAAGAATACAAGTACTTTGCAAAAGTCCATGTCAGTTTCTATCTTTTCAACAAGCAATTGTGTTTCTAGGTATAGGTACCCAGAGAAACAAGTAGCTATCTCCACAAAATTTTGGATGTGAATATTCAATTATTTTATGCAGAATAACAAAAAATAAATCTGTCCATCATCAAAAAAAGGAAAACCAAATTGGATCAAGAAGATGTGATACATATATATACAATGGAATACTACTCAGCCATAAAAAAGACAAAATCGTCCCATTAGCAACAACATGGATGGACCTAGAGGGTATTATGTTAAGTGAAATAAGCCAGAAAGAGAAAGACAAACACTGTATGATCTTACTCATATGTGGAATATAAACCAACACATGGACAGAGAAAACTGTATTGTGGTTACCAGGGGCAAAGGGGGTAGGGGGTGGGCACCAGGGGTGAAGGGAGACATATATATGGTGATGGACAAACAAAAATGTACAACTTTACTGTATTCATTTATTATTTATAAAAGTTTTTTGGTGGATTCTTTAGGGTTTTCTATATAGAGAATCATGTCATCTGCAAATAATGACAGTTTTACTTCTTCCTTTCTCTTTTGGATAATATTGTCTTTTTTTTTTTTTTTTTGCCTATTTGCTCTGGCTAGGACTTCAAATACTATGTTGAATAAGAATGGTGACAGTGGGCACCTTGTCTTGTTTGTGTTCTTAGAAAAATAACTTTCAGTTTCTCACTGTTGAGTATGATGTCAGTTGTGGGTTTGTCATATATGGCCTTTAAATTATGTTGAAATATTTTCCTTCTATACCCATTTTATTGAGAGTTTTTATTATAAACGGATGTTGAATCTTGTCAAATGCTTTCTCTGCATCTATTGAGATGATCATGTGATTGTTATTCTTCATTTTGTTAAAGTGGTGTATCACATTGATTGATTTGCAGATGTTCAACCATCCCTGCATCTCTAGAATAAATCACGCTTGATCTTGGTGTTGATCCTTTCAGTGTACTGTTATATTCAATTTGCTAATATCTTGTTGAGAATTTTTGCTTCAAATGTAATCAGCAATATTGGCCTGTAATATTCCTTTTTTGTGTTGTCCTTGTCTGATTTTGGTATCACGGTAATGTTGGCCTCATAACGTGAATTCAGAAGTGTCCCATCCTCTTCAATATTTTGGAAGAGTTTGAGAAGGATAGGTATTAAATCTTCTTTAAGTGTTTGGTAGAATTCACCAGAAAAGTTGTCTGGTCCTGAAATTTGGTTTTGGGGAAGTTTTTCATTACTGTTTCAATCTCTTTACTTGTGATAGGTCTATTCAAATTCTCTATTTCTTCTTGATTCAGTTTTGGGAAGTTGTATGATTCTAAGTATTTTCCATTTTAAAAAAATTATTATCATAGCCTTCCTAGAAGGTGCAAAGTGGGTTGATTTGGATTTCTCTAATGACTAATGATGTTTAGGATCTTTTCATGGGTTTACTGGCCATTTGCATATCTTCCTTGCATAATGTCTATTCAATACCTTCGCCATTTTTTTTTTTGTGTGAGGAGATCAGCCCTGTGCTAACATCCGCCAATCCTCCTCTTTTTTTGCTGAGGAAGACGGCCCTGGGCTAACATCTGTGCCCATCTTCCTCCACCTTATATGGGACGCCGCCACAGCATGGCTTGCCAAGCAGTGCGTCGATGTGTGCCGGGGATCCGAACCAGCGAACCCCGGGCCGCCGCAGCGGAGCGCGCGCACTTAACCGCTTGCGCCACCGGGCCGGCCCCCCTTTGCCATTTTTTAAATTGGGTTGTTTGTTTGTCTTTTGTTGATGAGTTGCAAGAGTTCTTTACAATTCTGTACAATAACCCTTCTCAGATAAATGATTTACAAATATTTTCTTCGATTCTATGGGTTGTCTTTTTACTTTCTTGATAGTGTCTTCGATGTTAACTGGGGCTGCAGTCATCTAATAGCTTGACTGGGGCTGGAGGATCTACTTCCAAGAAGGCTCACTCACATGGCTGTTAGCAGGAGACTTCAGTTCCTCACCTCAGGGGCCCCTTCTAAGGGCACTGGCTTCTCCTAGATGAGGAATCTGAAAGACAGAGGAAGACATCATAGTGCCTTTCTGACCTAGTCTCTCAAGCTGCTCACTGGCTCTTACGCGGTACTTTGTTCACTAGAATCAAGTCACTAAGCCCAGCCCATATTCAAGAGGAGAGGAATTAGGCTGCACAACTTGAAGGGAGATGCATCAAAGAATTTGTGGGCATATTTAAAGCCACCACAAAGAAGTGCGTCAAATAAAGAAAATGGCTCAGTTTGTCACTTCTTTTAAACTTCAAGAAATAGATAAGAAAAATATTAAACTGTTACAGAGCTCAGAAATACAATTATGCCCATATTAAAGTTTGCCAAAGACTGCAAATGAAAACAAAATATATCTCTGGCTCACTTAATAATATAAATGGTAAAATCCTAAATCAAATGTTAAATAGAGTCACGCATCACTTAACGATGAGGATATGTTCTGAGATCTGTGTCTGTAGGCAATTTTCTTGTTGTGCGGACATCAGCAGGATGT